AGCTTCTTCTCTACTGGCAGCTCACACCCGGTCTTTTTGTGAATTGTATACGCCGTCAAGGTTAAAAAGCTTTTCATCTGTGAAAAGCCACCCTAGTCGAACATCGTGTAAGCAAGATCTTGGAATCTTGGGATCGATAAGCAAGATCTTGAGAAGATAATTTGCATGTGTATATCTTGAGTGTATCAGATAAATCTGTGCTTAAGATCTTGTTAAGATCATGGAAAGGATATCATTCACTATTATTTTCTCACAAGATGTTGAAAAAAACAAAAAGCGACATCATTAGTTTATTGTTTACGTACTGACTAGTCATTCGCCGGTTTTTTTTTGCAGACAGAGCCATATATGTACAACATGATGAAACATATATTTTTCGATATAATTTTTTTTCTAAACTCTTTCTCGAGTATTAATCATGCGAAAAATTGCTGATCTCGATCGCCGATCGAGAGAGGACTACCTGAAACCGTCCGATGGTGGTCGAACCACCTCAGGAACAGGCAGGCTTCAAGATCGGACTTGCTTCAATTATTCAGAATAGAAATAATTAAAATGAAGATAAATTAAAAAAGTTTGATGACATGCTTTTACAGAAAAAGAGATATAAATGTGTTGTATGATAGGTTTGAGTCGCGCTTTCAGATTGTATCATGGATTGTGATACAAATCCAATACATACGATACATTTTATCGCAGTATGTATTCAAGATCTTACGGATCTATATCTAAGATCTTATGAATCTGTAACCAAGATCTTATATATCTGTACCTAAAATCTAGTCACAGATCTTAGGTACAAGATAATTGGATTATCTTGTACCTAAATTTTAAAGATCTACTAACATTTCTGTACCCAAGATCTTGGCCAAGATCTTGCTTACAAGATGTTCGACTAGGGCATTTTTTAGTGTCATCTTTGCTGTAGTTATTTAACACCCAATTAGCAAACTTAATCCTCCTATTCTTTTGAAGATTAGTTAGCTCAGATTTTTTTGTCTTTTTGTACAGCTTACATCCAAGATCTTCACAGAGTATTCGCTGTATATTCGTTCTAGTAATATTCATATCTTTAGCTAATTTTCATCTAGACACTCGCTTTTTTTTATTTAGACGGTTTTTAACCTTCACAATAGCGGCCTTTGTACGGGCTGTTCGTGCATAGCCTGACGGAGACGACAGCGTGATAGAACCAGTACTCTTGATCATTTTTATCCATAATTTAATTGCGGGTAATGAAACAGCTCCGTCTAAATCACGATAAACTTTTGCCGGACCATCACCATTTTCACATTTAGTTTTTACAAGTTTTTGTATATCTTTACTTTTCATATTTTTTAAAACGAAAGTGAAACACTTTTTAGTTTCAACCATATACATTTTTGTAGAGAATTTCAAGCACCATCTTTTAGTTTAAAAAGATGTCCCGATCTAATGGATAATAGAAGAGTTATACTCAAAATACGAATGGTATAATTTATTCTGGGCCACCCGTTAGGACTTGCGGATCTAAGGTTACTCCCATAATGTAGGACTTGAGGACCTAAGGGTACCCCCATAATATAGGACTTGAGGACCTAAGAGCACTCGTGAAATATAGGACTTGGGGACCTAAGGGCAGAGTTGTAACCGGACCGGCAGACCGGCCGGTCCGGTCCGGTCCGGTCCGGTAGAAGATTTCTCACCGGCCGGTAGAACCAATTTTTTCTTTACCGGCCCGGTCTGAATTTTTTTTGAATTTTTCCCTATTTTTTTCTGAAAAAATGATCAAAAAGATGGTTTTTTCGAAAATCAAAAACTTTTTACTAATGTCGAAGACTATTTTGGTAAAAAAAATTGTAGCAAACTATCCTATTGAGTCAAAATTTGTCATGGATGTTTTTATATTTATCCAATCCATGTAGGTATGACGTTCTGCTCATATAGTTCAAGGAATGACATTTTATCATTTAAAACAGTTTTTATTGGCCAAAACTATCGTTTATCATACCTAAACGTCGTTTCAGAACAGAAAATAGCTGGATATTGACTTTCGTAAACAGTACACAAATGTTATTATGCGTATATACGGTCGAATGCATACAGAAACGTTTCTGTAGCGTTTACGAAGGTCAATTTCCAGTTATTTTCTGTTCTGAAACGACATTTAGGTATGATAAACGATAGTTTTGGCCAATAAAAACTGTTTTAATCGACAAAGTGCCGTTTCCTGAACCAGATGGGTGTTGTTCAAACAAAAATCAAGTGATTAATTGTTTAGCATTGTAGTTTATCATGGATTTATTTGTATTTCCTACTATTTATTGCATATAGTCCTCACAGACACGAAAGATGACAAAGTGAGTATAGCATACGAGCAATAAATAGAGCCCATATTTGATGAATAGTTAATCAAAGTGCAAAATTAACATAGAATTTATGATCGTATGAACTTTTGTGCTCACCAATGGATATCGAGAAACAGAACACATATGAAAGCAAATAGTAAAAAGCATTGCAGTGGCGAAATAGTACTTTTATATCATAGCTGTAGTGATTAGAAGGAATATATGACTCATCTAGAAGTTGATTTGAGCGTTATAGGGTCAGAAAACAGAAGAATAATTTATACCGGTATACCGGCCGGTCCGGTCCGGTCTGACCAGTTAGACCGGTACCGGTACCGGTAAGGAAAAAACCCTACCGGTTACAACTCTGCCTAAGGGTACCCCTGAAATATAGGACTTGAGGACCTAAAGGTACCCCTGGAACATAGGACTTGGGGATCTAAAGGTACCCCTTAATATAAGACTTGAGGACCTAAGGGTGCCTCCATAATATAGGACATGGGGACCTAAGCGTATCCGCATAATATGGGACTTGAGGACCTATAGATACTCCCATAATATAGGACTTGAGGACCTAAGGATACCGCTGGAACATAGGACATGGGGACCTAAGAGTACCCCATAATGTAGGACTTGAGGGCCTAATGGTACACCCATAATATAGGACTTGGGGACCTAAAAGTACCCTTCTAATATAGGACTTCAGGACCTAACGGTACCCCCATAATATAGAACTTGAGGACCTAAGGATATGCCTGGAATATAGGACTTGGGGATCTAAGGGTACCCTCATTATATAGGACTTCAGGACCTAAGGGTACCGCCATAATAAGGATTTGAGGACCTAACGGTATCCCCATAATATAGGACTTGAGGACCTAAGGGTATGCCTGGAATATAGGACTTGGGGATCTAAGGGTACCCCATAATATAGGACTTGAGGACCTAAGGGTTCCCTCCTATATAGGACTTGGGGACCTAAAGGTATTCCTGGAATATAGGACTTGAGGACCTAAGTGTACCCTCCTAATATAGGACTTGGGGACCTAAGAGTATCCCCATAATATAGGACTTGAGGACCCAAGAGTACCTTCATATAATAGGAGGGAGGACCCAAGTGTAGCTTCATATAATAGGAGATTGTTATAACAATAATGTGAATGACTAAACCCGGGATCCCGGTACCGGGAATGACCGAACCCGGGTAGTTCGGGCTCGGTGCATCCCTAATGGCTATAGTGTGGACTAATAGACTCCACTTTGGCTCACGCCAACTTTGGCTCACTTCATACAACCCATGAATCGTACTCGATAACTTTTATGAATAATGAAAGAGAGAAACAAATTTTAACCTTCTAAAGAATAAATACGAGATAAAGTGGTTAAATTTTTCATTGATTATAGTCAAAATAAAACATGAGCTGTTTTATTCTAAATGAGTTGAAATGTAATTTTCAATGATAAGTCACATCCACAAAGTGAATTCAATTTGAATTAAAACGAAGAAAATTCCAAAAGAAGCCCCTTTATTTTTACTTGTTTCTACACATTTCTAAACCAATATGATTTGTATGCATTGTAAAATTCGCATGAAAGTAGCGTTTCAGTATGGTTAACATATTTAAAAAAAGGAACTTTTACATTTTGTAAAAAAGAAAACTATTCCACTCTCTTTCGAGTAGTAATCAAATCGAAATAAAGGAAACAGAGAGAGCTTTTTTTTCAACATTCTATATCATGAGACAAATGAAGTATAGACTGAAAATAAGTTTCTTTAGAATATTTCACACATTAGAAATAATAAAAATGGACTATTTTCACAATAGAAAGATACCAATAATATGAATTTCTGATTCTAAAACTCAAATCAAAAGTATTGAATGAGATTTTTTTCTCTTCCATTCTCACCTGAATCGTATTCGATAAGTTTCATGAGTAATGAAAGACAAAAACAAACTTTAAGCTTCTCAAGAATAAATACAAGATAAAGCGGTTGAAGTTTTCCTTGATTTCACTGAAGAAACAGATATGCTGTTTTCTTCGAAATGATTTGAAATGTAGTTTACAAAGATATGTCACAGTCACAAAGTGAATTCAACTTGAAATCAAACGAAAAAATTCCAGAAAAACCAAGGTCAAGCTCTCCATATATCTTAAAGGAGATACGATTTTTGTACATTGTCACCTTTAAAACTAAACTACAGTATGAGCTAGAAAGAGAGAGAGTTGAAATTTTGCACGACAGTAAGACATTTAAATATGTATTACAGCATTAGAAAACATGTCATAATCGAGAGAGAGAGACAAGGAGTTTCAGTGAAACGTTGAAATCTCCCCTTTGAAAGCTTAACATTTCAGATATTAAAAATAATTATTGACACAAAAGAATTCTTACAAAGTCCTTTTATTAAAGACTAAGTTACGAAAAGTACTTTCTCGTGTACGAGAGACAAAGATCTCGTCGACAATGATGATTTATTTTCTTTGTTTATTATAGGTATTCCCAATATCCCAATCGATGCTCGATGGTCACAAAAAGGAAAGAGCATTGCTGGATATAATAAAAGAGGCAATGCTACCAATCAACTCAACCGTCCTCACGGTCTCTTCGTTGATGATGATCAAACGATGATCATTGCTGACTTCGGGAATCATCGTATCGTCCAATGGAAGATGGATGATACAAATGGACAAGTTGTAGCTGGTGGCAAAGGCGAAGGAAATCAATTGAATCAATTGAAATATCCAACTGATGTGCTAATTGACAAAGAGACTGATAGTCTCATTATATGCGATCGGGAAAATCGACGAGTTGTAAAATGGTCTCGTTGTAGTGGCACAAGCCAAGGAGAAATACTTATTGACAACATCCATTGTTGGGGATTGTTCATGGATGATCAAAGATATCTCTACGTCTCTGACATCGAAAAAGATGCAGTAAGACGATATCAAATAGGAGACAAGAATGGACTTATTGTGGCTGGTGGAAATGGCAAAGGTGCTGATCTCAATCAACTCAAGGGACCGACCTACATCTTTGTCGATCAACAACAGACTGTCTACGTGTCAGACAACAACAATCATCGTGTAATGAAATGGAATAAAGGTGCAAAAGAAGGCATTGTCGTCGCTGGAGGTCAAGGCCAAGGGCATGCTCTGACACAATTGTCTTGCCCTTATGGGCTTTTTGTCGATACGCTGAGTACCATCTATGTGGCAGATTCATTGAATCATCGAGTAATGCGTTGACCTAAAGGAGAAAAACAAGGTAGTGCCATTGTGGGTGGAAATAGTCAAGAAACAGGAGCAAATCAGTTGCGCTCGCCTCTTGGTTTATCCTTCGATCGACAAGGCAATCTCTATATCGTCGATGGCGGTTATGATGGATATGATCGTATTCAATTTTTTTCAATTCAATAAATTGTATTCGAATTGAAGCAATTTTTTTATTTCTCTTCAAGCGCGGGAAGCCTCACATCATCCGCATGCATCCATCAATGACATATGTTCATGAGCCTGAAGCCCACTTGTGTTGCCACTAGTGCCCGGCGTGATCAACTTTTTTGGTCACGGTGAGTCACTGCCCTTTTCATGGTTTCTCAACATGAAAAAAGAAACTTTCCAGAAAGAGCTATTGCAATGTGGCCTTGTCCAGTCCTTTATGGATTCAGTCAGAGTCCTTCCGGGAATCGCTCTTTTTTCCTCACGGAATGGCGAAATCCCGTAAGAAATGTGTATTCACAAAATTTCAAGATCCTAGCAGAGTTCGAAAAAGGATTACATCAGGTTTCTGAACAGGTCACCATTGTTGTTGAACTTGAAATAAATTAGAAAACGCGATGTGGCTGTGGGTGTAAACAGAACTTCCACTCGTATCAATTGACAAGAATAGCCACTGATGTACTCTCTTGTTAGCTATTGTTGCGACGCTCCTCAGTTTTAGCTGCAAAAGTTCACTGGGTCCTTATAGCAAGATTCCTATCTGACTTTGCGTAAAATTTGATAAAATTTTCAGAGAATCCTCTCCATTATTCCTGTTAGGATCATAAGTAAAATCATGAATGAATCCTTCAAGGATCCTGTACTCATTATTTACAAACACATCTGGTCAGGAACGGAAAGAAATGCTAAACAGGATCCTGTATAACTGGGAAATCCTGACATCAGGAATTGAGTCGGAATTCTGAGGAAAACTTGACAAGACCTTGAACATTCAGGATCCTCAAAGATTCTTGCAAAATTTCCCAAGAAATGAATGGGATCGAGACTAGGATTCTATTTACTATTAGAAGTGATAATCGAAGGAGGGTAGCTTCGCGGAGGTGCCCGTACTTCTCCTCAGAGGTTCCCAAAATGGGGTGTGGGTGGGTGTGTGGGTGGGTGTGGGTGTGGGTGTGGGTGTGTGGGTGTGGGTGTGGCTATGGGTGTGGGTGTGGGTGTGGAGGTGGGTGTGGGTGTGGGTGTGGGTGTGGGTGTGGGTGGGTGTGGG